ACGCCGAACCGCACTGCACTAGCAGTGGCAGCAACACCGCTGCAAGTGCAACTCCCCGCCAGCTCTAGTACCACAAACCCCAAACTCTCCGGAAGCCACAAACGAAGCGCTGCGTCCGTCCGAGTGGCTGCTCGGCTCCCGAAGAGGCAGTGGACACCAGAAGATGGGTGAACGACTCCAAGGCTGACCTGTGGCTGCTTGGAGGCTTGAGGCTTCAGGGGCCGGCTCGGCAGGAGGAGACAGAAAGAAATCTTTGGGCAACACTGATGCCAAATGAGCTGGCAGGCTCCGGCGCGATGTCCAGCAAGTGGGTGCCGACGGACACGTTGGCAACCTCGTGGACTGTCACAGCACAGCCCAAAGCAGTGGCTTTCGGACTGTCGCACATAGTTGTCAGTGATTTCAGATGGTTTCAGCGCTCTGCAAAACTCGCCGCAGCCATGCAGGAAAAGGGTGCATATTCAGACGCCTGAAAACCACCAACCCAGTCTTGACGTCTGCTCTATGCATGGTTTATGTTTATATTACCTGAAGCCCGGAGCTTGAAGTTTCAGCCTTTTCCGCCCCACGCATCTCAACACCAGCAAACCCTGTGAAATTGAGTCGCGATATGATAATAGGCCCATGCCAGGCAGCATAAGTCCGTTCACAGACTGCCAGATAGTTCTCGCTGGTATCAGAGTCCAGCAGCTCGAGCAAGTCCTGACGAGATCTGACGAGACTTTCAGGGTGATGATGATGATGATGATGGAGGTGAAAATGAAGATCAATAATATTAGTAATAACAACGATAGTAAGAAGAATAACAAGAAGCATAATCATAACAACTAACACTATAAGAATAGCAATAGTTCATTTTTAAAATATAATAGTAATAAACTCAAACAACAACAATGACAATCTGCTGCTGCTGCTGCTGCTGCTGCTGCTGCTGCTGCTGCACCGCTGCCGCTGGTGCTGCTGCTGCTGGTAGCTGCTGCTGCTGCTGCCGCTAAGTGGTGGTGGTGGTGGTAGCCGTGGCGGCGGTGGCGGTGGCGGTGGTGCTGCTGGAGCTGGTGCTGGCTGCTGGGTGCTTCCTGCTGCTGCCTGCTGCTGGTGGCGCTGGCGGTGTGCTCTCACCCCAAAACCTCTAAAATAGGGGACCCTAATATAGTACCCCAAATAGTAGGATCCTTATTATAAGGCCCAGGTACCCCTACCGAATAGAGCCCGTCTGATTGGTATAGACTCCTCCTCTATCTCCGCCGTAGACTCGGAAGACTCGTTGGAACAGGCGGCTCCAGGCGCTGCCTTCGGCCACCGCTGTTTCAGGGCCGAGGCTCGGTAGCTAGGGTTTTAGGATTTAGGGTTTAGGGTTTTAGGGTTTTAGGGTTTAGGGTTATGGGACGCAGATCCGTGCTTCGTTTGAGGCTTTTGGGGCCTCGCGTCGTGGACGCCTCAGGAACCTGCCTTTTGGGGATGTGGAACATCGCAGAGGGGGCCTGTCAGGTTCGCTGAACCTGCAAAGCTAAAATACGCCGTAGGCACATGTAGGCCCCCAAACAACACCACGACGAAGCCCAAAATCTCAATCACGCTCCTGTTTACATCTCAGGGACTGCTCTGGCCAGATACACGATGTACGTCACCACTTCCTGAGCTTGAACTCCCGTCTCGAAAGCCGAGACCCTGCGTCGCAGCGTTTACAGACACTGGTCTGCAGATGAGCAGCGGAGACATCACCCGGAGGATCCCATGTCAGGGGCCCCCCGATATCAGTAGCATCCAAGTCGTAGTCCGCGAAGGTGACGTTGGACACCTGCGATTTCTTGAAAGATTCAACAGTCCGTACGTAAGCGCGGAGAAATTCCTTGCGAACCTGCATATCATCAGTATACCGCAATCAGCAAGACAAGCTGGGGCTCCCGGCTGTTGCAAACGTATCCAAAAGTGCTGCTGCAACCGGACTTGTCTGCTCGACCAGTGAAGACCTTCCACTTGTTTGATCAGTGCAGCTTTTGTGTTGCCCACCTTACGGTCCTTTTCCCTTCTAGGGCCAAGCTGCATTTCCGATGCCTATGCCTGGGTCATGAGCATGTACAACCATCTTGGGTTCGCAGCCGGTTTCAGGACTGGTAGCACCAAGAGCCGATGCAACACAAGACTTCCGACTACCCATGCTTGCCGTGGCGATGTGGGCCTGTCGGGATGCTCCTGGCCTTGGAGCTGCGCTAGTCATTGGACTCTGCTGTGCTGTTCATTATGACTTCGTTCATGCGATACAGCAAGACGAGTATTCAGGTGTTTGTGGCAGCTGCTGCTTGGCGTTACCTGTGGTTAGCCCATGTTAAGTCTATCGAAAATACCATGTGCTTTCCCTGCGAAGCAACAGTCTGCTTTAAAGTTTCATCTTACATAATATTGGCACCAGGCAGTAAAGGCTGTCTACGCCGTGAGCATCTGAAAGAGTTGGGTAGAAGAGCGCTACAGAGTACGGCCGCTCAAGCAGGTCCATGCTCTTGACACGGCGGTTTGGGTCCAAACCTTCTGGTGCTATGCTGACGACTGTGCTGGTTGGCCCTGTCGCCTCTCATCTCCAACACATGCCAGTCTGCGATCTTGAAACCAAGATGGTTGAGTCAACTTAAAAGGGGGTACATGCAATGCAGCTGGCTCATCTACAGCAGTTCTACACACATCGTAAGAAAGAAGAGATACAAGTAACGGGGCTTCAGCTCGGAAAGATTGCGTGCGCACCAACGATGACATTGGGTTCCGCCTTCAACCGGAACCTAAACCTCTTAATGCACAACGCACCAGCCAAGCCTTGTGTAGATTACAAGGTGGCTGAAGTTTTGGCGAGGGGTATCGTAGAGGATGTCAAGCGCGGTGATGTTCACCTTGTCAGCCCATGCCCTTTTCAGATGGGCTAAGCGGGTTTGGGGATACTATGAGCTTCCAAATGGCTTGTGTTTGGAACCCCCAGTGCGAGACATCACATGCACCTTCCAACTGCACCGCGGCACTACAACTCCAGAGCCGTTTTGCGCTGTCACTCTGGTCTTTTGCAGATGTCTCGTGTTGTCACCATGTCTCGGCGCCTTGTGCACTAAGCCGTTCGGCACGTGACGCACATGACTTGACTTGTCGCTCCGTTCCAACTGCTCGTCCGAAGCATGACGGCCGGTATGGGAGCCTCAGGAGTTGTCAGGATTTCTGAGATCTGCCTTTCACGGTCCTGATAGCAATGCACTTCGAGTGCATGGTCACGCACCCCAAGCCAGAAAAATCAGCAGATCGTCCTAAAGCCGAGACCATGTTCTTCTGGGCCCGAAAAGGCCCTGATTGTCAGATCACATGTATGGTAGTTATCCTAGCTTGCCAGTCCGGCTGAACATAAATTCTAATCTGCAGTACCTACAGTCGCCTCTCCCTGAAGCAGCAGAAGAGCTCCAAGTACCTCCAAATCCGGAGCACGCCCGAGGCCCCAAGACTCGTAAGAACTGTGTAAAACCAGTCCTAGGACACGACAACTGCACATGTTCACGGCTGTGACGTCTCATGCGCCACCAAACCCGTCACCTGAAAGGTCACGGAAAATGAGCTCCCGCCACCTAGCCCAAAACCACCTCCAAAATTATGGAACCAAGCACAGCACCTTTGAATCCCTGAAACTCCAACTACATAAACGGATGCTCCGAAATCGCGAATCGCCCTGGGCATCCGCAACATCGCTGAGACCGCAGCTGGCACTCCTTCGTCGACTTGCGACCGGTAGAAACCATCTTCTGAGTCTGCAAAGTACAGGTGGTAGCCTCTCGACTTGTCGCTTGAGGCAAGCAGGCATTGGCAATTAATCCCCGACTCCTAATTCACACTGGCAGGACACCTTGCATGCATACTTAGGGGAGTCCAAGGCTATGTGGCCGACATGCATACTCATGCCTCAAAACCTCAAAACTGAACTGTACGAGCTGAGTAGAACTGGGCGAGGAATACCTATTCCAGTTGCACGTGGAATTCAATGACAGTCAAGCGATTAAATTTCAGACGCGACTTTTCTGGCCAAGTGGCCTTCTACAAGATCTGGCTTGTCTGGAGACTCCCAGGACACCAAGCCACCAATCTCATCACGATCCAGGTCAAGATCTTTGAAGGAAATGTTCGAAACGCTAGCAAACTCGTCTGCAATCCGATGGCTGCTGGGCGTCGTCTGTTCCACGAGGGCCGACCTTTCAACCGGTGCTGCAACAACTATCCACAGCATGGACATTATAGCCATGTTATACAGCCGCCGATACAGCAATACTTCTATAGCAATGCTATATTAAGCTACAGCACTCCAGCTGTTGGGGATGATAACCGATCATGCAGGATTTTGTCATCTGAATTTCATCGTGCAGTGACCAACGTGAGAAGATCTAGCACACGCGAGGCTCGTCGCGACCACAACAAGCTTAGGTGCCTGCCTCGTGTAAACCAAGAAGTGAGAGATGTATGCCTCATCACTCTTCAAGTTCTTCTCTGCATGAATCTGAAGCATTGTTGTTCCCACTGGCAGCGTAGCATAGTGCTCCCTCCATTCGCCGACTGTGCTGTTGGAGAAGTACACCTCGTAGTGTGTGACCAGTGAGGTGTCTAAGGGTGGCAGCCATGAGCTAGGCCCTCCGATGTCACCGAGGTCCAAGTCCAAATCGAGAAAATTAACGGAGGACACAGAGGCGTTGTTGTCTTGCAGGGCAAAGGCACTGGGAGTCGTCTGCTCGGCAAGCCTGGACTTGGTATAAACTAAGACGTGACTGAAGTTGGCCAGAGCTGTGTCTGGGAGGATCTCTGCGATCTCCGAGTCCACACCAACCACGATGTCTGATCCCAGCTGTGACCGATAGCTGGCGGAGTCGCCGAAGCTCGTCGCGAGGTATGCTACGTAGCTCACCACACGTTCTGCCGATGTTGGTGGCACGAAAGACACCGTGCCGCCAAGCTCACCAGCGTCCAAGTCCAAATCCGTAAAGGATACGTTTGTCACGCTGGCGATCGTTTCGATAATGACCACTGAGGAAGGAGTCGTTTGCTCTTCCAGAGGCGACCGGCCAAAGACCAACAAGTGTGTAAAGCTCAGCAGCTGAGTGTTGTCTGGAACCGAGAAGCTTAGCTCATCTCGACTGACATTTCCCAGCAGAGTCCGGTTGGTCCCATATCGATCCTCCGCGAGGTAGATCACGTAGTCCACCACCTCGGAGTCATCTTCAGCGGGAAGCCACGTAAGATTTCCTCCGATCTCGCCCTCGTCGAGATCGTCATCTACGAAGGATACGTTGTTGGCTCGGGATGCCTCGTCTTGAATGGCCAGGAATGCAGGCGTCGTCTGCTCTACGAGGAGCGACTTCGTGAAGACGGTGAAGTGGGTGAAGTTCTCTCTCCGTGTGTTGGCCGGCACATCGTAGAAGAGAACCTCCGGAGCCAGCTCCGTGGGACCCACTTGCGATCGGCCGAAACCTGCGGCGCTCTCGGCGAGGTAGATGCGGTAGGCCGCCAAACGATCGGTGGAGTTCGGCGGCTCCCAAGACAAGCGTCCACCCAAATCGTAGAAGTCAAGGTCCTGTCCTAAAAACGACACCGAGGAAACACTGGAGTCTTCATCCTCAATCTGCAGCGCTCTTGGAAAGCTTTGTTCTGCTAGGCTGGAGGCAGCGTACACCAGGTAGTGTGTCCAATTTGCGAGTCGCGTTTCTGGAGGAATTGTGAGTGCTGTGTCGCTCTCTAGCGTACTCCCAACAAATTTGCGACACCAGCTAAGACTCAAGGAAAAGAGTCCAGTGTTGTGACCTGACAGCTGCCGTTGGACTGCGTCCGAGTCCTCAACAAGGCCATCGGATTCATCGGATACTTCGAAGGCCGAAGACAGCCTTCTCGAGATGTTGGATACTGCATCCGTATCCTCGTCACTGTCCGGCTTGCCGCTGGCGTTGGCTGCGACGACTGCGGCTGTCGCAAAGCGTTGCAGGATTTGGGCTGTGTCCACGGTGTCCACCGAAAGCCGCGAAAAGGACAGCACAGAGAGGCTTGTGCTGGTCACAAGGCTGCACACCCCAGCAGCTTGCAGCGCCACAGCCATGACTGTCTCGAAGGATGCCGGTGCCGAGCTCAATGCCACCGCCGCCGCGGAGGTTGTCAAGACCGCCTCCAGGGACACGGCGGCTTCGTAACTGACATGCCAGAAGCTGGAGAGGCGCCGCATACTCTGCTCGCTTGCGAGGCGTCGACTCGTCCTCGTGACCGTGACTTCGAGGTTCTTCGGATCGATTCCGGGCAAAGCTGCGAGCACGGCTAGACGCGCTGCGTGTTCCACCTGCTCGATAGTGGCCGGTACGGAGAAGGTGAAGCTGCCGGTGATCGCCGCCAGCTGAACCACGTCTTCGTAGCACTCTTCGGACTCGTTGTCGTGAAGTCTGGCCATGTAAACCACGTAGTGCGTGATTTTGGCCGTGTCTGATGGTGGCTCCCAGGAGAATAGGCCCCCGATGTCGCCGCGGTCCAAGTCGAAGTCGGGGAAAGAGGCGTTCCCTACAATGGCGATGGTGTCCGAGAGGTTCACAGCCACAGGGGTTGTTTGCTCCACAAGGCTCGACCTGGTGTAAATTGCAATCTGTCCTCCTCCGTAGCTTGTCTCTGCAGGTAACGAGAAAGAGTCGGTTCCCGGTGACAGCACTGAAAGTTGGGAGCGGCTGTATGCATCCTTGAAGTAGAGCCAGTATCCCTCTACTGGCTCAGGTTCTGGTGGCTCCGTCCACGAGATGATACCACCAAATTGCTCCAAGTCAAGGTCTAGGTCGTCGAAAGACACCTGAGAGACACTGGCGATGGTGTCGTTGATTTCTTGCCCAAAGGGGGTGGTCTGCTCTGCGAGGGAGGATTTCAAGTAGATGAGCAGAAGGCCATTGTTGGCCAGGGGCGTCTCCGGTGCTATGTCCAGCTGAGATTCGGGAGCTGATGCGTTAGTAAGGAAGTAGCGGCACAGCTCCCCGTCTCCGACGCCACTGACCCGGTCGCAAAGTGCTCCGTTCGCAGGTCCTGCAAGATACACCATATAAGCCTCTACCAGTGCCTCATCGCTTGTGGACCAGGAAAGCTCTCCGCCAAGGTCTGCCGCATCTAAATCCAAGTCCGGGAAGCGAATGTTTCGGACAACAGGCGCTTCGTCTTGCAATCTGCTGAAGGCCGGAGTCGTCTGTTCCACAAGCGTCGAACGCGTGTACACCAGCACATGACTGTAATTCAGCTTTGGCGTATCCGGCAAGAGCGGCAGCGTGGTTATTCCCTTCGGGAGGGCCTGATCCAGCTGGGATCTCGCCAATCCCAGGCGGTCCTCTCCGAAATACACCAAATAATCTTGCACCCGCTCTCGGCTCTCCTTCGATAGGCTATTGAATGCTGATCTATCACTGCATGGTCAACTACCAGCAAACCCTATCAAACCCTCATGTTTGCTCAGCGCCTCTGCTGCCAAAAAATCTCACTCAAGGCGTAAGACACCCGCAAGGCTTCAAGGTCGAGATGCTGGAGGATCCCACACGATGGTCCCTCCCACATCGGTGGCATCGAGATCCAGATCGACAAAGGTCACGTTGGAGACGCTCGCAGACTCGTCTGCCAATTCCAGCGCAGCCTTGTTCGAGAGGTGTAGGGCGTAGGGGTAGGTTAATAATACCCCTGGCCAGGTCTGACAGGTTAGCGTAAGTTATACCGCAATTGACCTGACCTAGATTGCAACCCGGCTGCAGGGGTAGTCTGCTCTGCGAGACTGGAAGCTGTGTAGACCAGAAAGTGCGTGTAGTTTCCGATGGACGTCTCCGGGGGCACACTGACGTTATCATCACCCAGCCAAGTCTTGGCAAAGAACTCCCGGAACCAACCAAGTGCTAGAGATCTCGTGCCAGTGATGGTTGAAAGCCTGCGCTCCTGGAGTGTCAAGTTGTCCAAGCCATCCATGTCAGAGTCCTCAGCAGCGGGGTCTGGATCTGAAGTTGTGTTCAGCATTGCCAGGGCCACATCCAGCTCTGCTATCTGCACGGAGACCTCGGCGAATTCCAAGATTGCCAGCGACGACACCGAGGACGTGCTCACCCCGACGGCTTCGAGCTCTGGGGCGAGGATGGCTCGGAACGCAGCCAGGTCCGCACGCTGGGCCTGTGCAGCCTCGGACACGGATGCAGCAGCATCGGCAGACACGAGGACCTGGTAAACCACGGACCAGGAGATGGCAAGTCGGCGGCCGGTAGCTTTCTTTGCTTGCGCAAGGCGTCGTGCCGACTGTGTCACCTGAACCTCCACAGCCGAGGGGTCCACGCCCAGGGCAGATCCCAAGGCGGCGATGGCTGCATCGACAACCTGAGAAACCTCAAGCATCCGCATGTTTGTATGCATGCATGCATGCATGCAAGTATGCGTATGTACGGACCTGTGCACGTACGTACATGCTTATGTAGGCCTGTATAGGCATGTATGTATGTGTGTATGTCCGCATGTCTGCTTACCGTACATACTGTAAAATCCATATACCATACAAAGGGAAACCCGCACAACCACCCATGCGGTCCCGTTCTGTCTTTCACTGGGCTTGAGGGGCAAATGCACTCGCTCCCTCGCCCCTCTCCCTCGCGCTCTCTTTCTCTCTTTCGCCAGGGCTAGGGGCAAAGGTATTTCCCCCTCGCTCTCTCTTTCTTTCGCCCGGGCTAGGGGCAAGAGGGGCAAGCCC